AACGTGTATAAAAACTTACATCAGAAATTGTTTTTCCAGTTAGAGAGAAGGTAATGTATTTGTATGTAAGTAGAGGAAGAAAATTAGTTACTTAATGTTATTATTTCGTTGACTTACCTTACATTAAATTATTTATTTTGTTTAATTAAATTTCGATTAAAAACTAATATGTTATTTATTACCAATTGATGTAACTATCGATTGATGATTAATGATTAGTATCTATGTATAATCAAGAATTAACGACTGATTTTGTTAATGTTTTTAATCGTGAGTATTAATTAATCAACTTAAATAAAAAGTTAACTGAATTAATGCCCAACAAAAGCTGAAAATGGGGCGCGAAATGAAACAAAAGACGGTGTCGATGCTTGTGTTCACGACGCACGTGTCTGAAAAGCTAGGTTTTGAAAAGCAGTACACGAGATAACACGTTTGTTGGTACAATTTTACTTACAAAATTTATTTTAAAAATTTGTACAATAAATGTAGAGTCATTAATTAATGAAGTGCAAAAGAGATTAATTGAGAAGTGCGATCGTTTACGTTCGACCGACTCATGTTTCTCGATTGTTTCGTCGTCCGATAGTTGGACAATCGATGGCCGTCTACGCAACGACAATCGTTCGTCTTGTGTCGTCCGACAAAAACGCTCGTGTGGCCCCGGCCTAAGTAGCGCTGTATCCCTACGCGGCCACGATCGGCTCGAAATTCTTAACTGTCTCATATATGCGAATATCTCATGAATACCTGGGTAACCGGGTAATTTTTGTATGCCCTAATGTCTCACGGGTAATGATGGGATTTGGAACGCTTCGAAACTGTCTTGAATTCGAGCGACAAATTGAAATCGCTTCGAATCTGAATCGGAGCTTAAAAACTCTTGAAAGTTTTGAACGGATTCAAAGTATTGAGTGGATTCAAAGTCTGGAGCGGTATTGGAAGTCTTGAGCGTCTTGAATGTGTTGAAATTATTGATAGGTTTTGCAAGCTTAATGAATATTCAAGATCTTACAGGCTTTTTAATGATGTACTTTTGTTCATGCAGTATAATTGACATAAGATATTAAAGAATGTCCGAAAATTTCGAGTTGTCATACAGTGGGTGTAAAAAGTATTCGCACACCCTTTAAAACGGAACAACTCTATTAAAATTGGTCCAAATGACTTGAGTTTTTTTGTGAAGTTAGAGACATTAATTTACCAAATGATGTGAAAAAAAAATTTGAAAAAGTTGCAATTGGTCCGAAACGGGAAGAAAACATTAAAAGTCGTGTTTTACAACTTTTTAATCTGAGGCTATAATGAACATTTAATAAATACATATCGAAGTTAGTTATATACATGTTGAACATTTCATCAAAATCGGTTAACGTTGCTACGAGATACAAACGATTAAAAATGTTGAAAATCGCAGTTTTTCCCGACTTTCGATGTACAACTGTAGTAAATCTAACCATTCTCACATCTTTTGATGTCTGTCGCTTGTTTCTGTCTTAACCGATTTCAATGAAAGTTTCAGTATGTACATAACTAGCATAAATCTTCGATATGTATTTATTTATTAAATTTTCATTATAGCCTCAGATTAAAAAGTTGTAAAACACGACCTTTAATATTTTCTTCGCGAGTCGGACCAATTGCAATTTTTTCAAATTTTTTTTCACATCATTTAGTAAATTAATGTCTCCAACTTCACAAAAAAACACCAGTCATTTGGACCAATTTTAAAAGAGTTGTTCCGTTTTAAAGGGTGTACGAATACTTTTTACACTCACTGTAGATACATTCATTGTTTTTATTATTCATTTATTCATGTTTTTGGGCAGGGGGGGGAATTGAGGAGGAAAATGTAAAAAAATTGAGAACGTTTCCCAATGATTGGGACACAATTTGTGTAAAAATAAGTTTATTGCTTATACATATTGTTTATTAGATAACAAAGTTGTATTTAAACTTAATGTAGTGTGGGACACAGTTGAAAGGAAAATACCAAACAGCGGTGGTTGCTGAGCCCGTGCGTCCCCTCCATGCGCCCTTGGCGCAATACTTAGAAGGGAATTGCCGCAACCCTCTGACGATGGGGGTGGACGGTAGTTCGGCAACATCGCGGACTTTCCCGTCGGTTCCACTTTCCTCACGCGGTTCCGAGAAACCATTAAGGGGACTTTCTCATTCAAAATTGAAAAAAAAGACACTTTTTTAATATTTTTTTATAAAAAAACTATTATATTTAGAAACATAATTCCGTTTGTACGCTATTATATATATTATTAAGAACATAAAGAAATTTTTTCTAGCACTTTTAGTTCACCACGACCGCTGTAGAGGGCGCCTTCCAAAAAGCCACGTTTTAATCGGTGCGACACTTTGCAGACGTCCTGTAAAAAATTAAGTAAAAATTCAAACGGGATTCTATTCGTGAGACTTAAAACTAGACAATAAACCTCTAAAAGTTCATAAAACTACCCCCCCCTTTTTTTATACAGGGGTGAATTGCCCCCAAAAAAGAGTGATTTTTCGAATTTTTCGGAAAAATATGTATAAAACGATAAAAAATACAAAAAATAAAATATTTTAGAGGTTTATTGTCTAGTTTTAAGTCTCACGAATAGAATCCCGTTTGAATTTTTACTTAATTTTTTACAGGACGTCTGCAAAGTGTCGCACCGATTAAAACGTGGCTTTTTGGAAGACGCCCTCTACAGCGGTCGTGGTGAACTAAAAGTGCTAGAAAAAATTTCTTTATGTTCTTAATAATATATATAATAGCGTACAAACGGAATTATGTTTCTAAATATAATAGTTTTTTTATAAAGAAATATTAAAAAAATGTCTTTTTTTTCAATTTTGAATGAGAAAGTCCTCTTAAATCCCCGCGCAGAGGTACCGTCCTGAAGTCTGGGGTTTAGGACACGTCGATGGTCATGCGGACCCTTCCAAGGTGAATCTCCTGCACATTTGGTTGCCAAAGGCAATAAACTTATTTTTTTACAAATTGTGTCCCAATCATTGGGAAACGTTTTCAATTTTTTTACATTTTCGTTCTCACAGTCCCCCCCCCCCCAAAAAAATTAAAGAAATAATAATTATATGTTGTTTTAAGAAATAATTAATTGGAAATAAAATTTTCGGTTATTCTTTAATTTCTTATGTTAGTGATACTGCTATAATAAAAGTAGCTTGCACAACCTATAAAAAATCTCAACGCTTCCAAAACTTCCAAGGCGCTTAAGACTTCTAAGACCATTCAAAACTTCGAATTTGTTCAAGACTTTAAATCCGTACAAGACTTCAAATCCGCTCAAGACTTACAAGAGTTTTAAGCTTCGAATCAGATTCGAAGCGATTCGAAGTTTTCATCCGTGTATTCCAAATCCCATCACTACTCACGGGTACCCGGGTATCTTATGAAATCACAGTTCTAGTAGGAACGCGCATATACAGGGTGGTCCACGCAACTTGTTCACCCTCAATAACTTCTGAAGTATGTATTGTATGAAAAAACTTTTTATAGAAAAGTTGTATGGTTTAGAGGGATACATTATGCAATGCATATATTTTTTCGTACTTGGAGGCGTTTCAGAGATGTGAAGGTCGACATCGTTTTTTTTTACATGGAATGCTGTATTTTTTATGCCAAAATATCAAAAAGCGTTAAATTCTAAGTACAATAATACTAATCTTTATTAGCCGTAAACCTAATAATTAACGAATAATTTCACCTTGTTTCTTGAAAATGGTCTGTGATTGATCGTGGTGGAGAATTTCTGTGACCACCACGTTCACCAGATCTAACGCCGCAAGACTACTTTCTATGAGGTACATTAAAAGATATGGTGTATCGTGAACCAACAATAACACCAGAGAATATGAAAGAACGAATTCGTGAAGCATGCAATATGCTTGCTGCAGAAATAATTCAGAGTGCAGTATCTTCGTTGATTACATCAGCGTATAATGTGAATGGACACCATTTCGAACACCTACGTTAGTGAATGGAAGAAGTCTTACGGAAATCTTTGCTGGTATTGAATCTCCAACTTGATATTATGGACAGACCATTTTCACAGATCATTTTCTAATCATTAGGTTCACGGCTAATAAAGATCAGTACTTTTTTACTCAGAATGTAACGCTTTTTGATATTTTGGCATAAAAAATATAGCTTTCCATTAATAAAAAAACGAGGTTGACCTTCAAATCTCTGAAACGCCTCCAAGTACAAAAAAAATATAACCATTACATAATGTATCCCTCCAAAACATACAACCTTCCTATAAAAAGTTTTTTCATAAAATGCATATTTTAGAAGTATTTCAGGGTAAACAAGTTGCGTGGACCACCCTGTATATAGGCATTTAAATGATCTCTTTAAACAATTACTTTTATTATTGATGTTAGTGAAGTAAATAATTTTTATAGTATTTTTATTTTATTATTAATAAGTATATATTCATTATTTTATAATAAATATTTACTCTTTAGTTTCTAATTTCCCTTACAATTGTATAATGTTTAGAATTTTATATATGTATAACTAGCATTTAAAATCTGTTAACATTTTCCGAAGTACTATCGTTTAGGAGTAATAAAATCGAGTCCCATATGAATTCAGTTGAAACTGAATTCTATTGTCATCAATGAAATAGTAAAAGAATTAAATATCGCAGTGCAAGTAATATTTAGTTCATTTTATTTATATTACATGTATAACATTATCGTACTATATTTTTTTACTTTAATCTCTACCACAATTTCGAGTTTTTTCTTTTATATTACTGGTTTGTTGTTCTTTTATTGCACCCATTTTCCCCTTTCTCTCTATTTTATTTCTCTTTATATTCTGATTACTGTTCCGTACTGCATTCTTACACCTCTTATGTATATACCCACTATTCTTAGCATCTAATAGTAACAATAAAAATAAGTACGCGTATGTTTCTATTAAAAAAAATGTATATTCTCAAAAGCATATAAAATAATACGTATAATTTCAGGCACAATTTTCGATGACACGTGGCTCTTGGTGTTAATATCATCTTGTGTGGGTGTGATTTTCATAGGGGTAATGTTGGCGATATTGCTGCTGAAATGCAAATTGTAAGTAAGACAAAGATTTTTTCTTTTTACATGGAGGAATAAATAACGAACGTGATCGAAATTGCGTAAACATGTAGTCTATATTCCCAAAACGTTGTTCTATAAGTTTGTATAAAATTATAGCATTAGTCATTTTTATTTCAAATTTACTCGTATAAAACTACTAATTTAATGCATTAACTGAAGAAGTATCCATTCGTACTTTATTGCTTGAATCTTGATGACTGTTGATGAATTTTTTCGTCTTATTGCAAATCTACACATCATTTTGGCGACAATTTGGAAAAGTTCTATCTACGTCGGTGGTACATTTTCGAAGAATTTACAGATGTTACAAACAATAGGGTCACAAGTACTATAATTTATTCAACAATAAGTCATACACTAAACTGCTACAGACAATCTGTTTTATATTTTGGCAATAATTATATACAATGTCCCGTGGAGTGTAATACTATTGAGTAAAGTGTGATTCCGAAAATTTTGTTAAACAAAGTTTCGTTTTCGAAAAAGTTGATACAGCGTACATTTACAAAATGTATGATTAATAAGCCGCAGCTGAACAATGCTGAACAATACTTTCGCCACCGTCATCACTCTCCACCGAAGCTCTTATCAACGGTGTTTTACCTATTGTTTCGCTTATACAGACCCCTGTTTGCTAGATGTATGCGAGCTGTTCGCAAACTTTTCATAAGATGTATGCGAATTATTCGAGATCAACAACTGCTTCCATCTCTTCTACGGATGTTTGCGAACAGTTCGTCACGAATTCGCGTCTGGAGCGATAAAATCCGAGGAAAAATCATATATTTTGTATATGTCCAAATGGTGCCCCGAAGCTTCGAGGTGAAGGCAAGGACCGAAATAATAAGTGGAAATGCCAAGTTCTGTATTTCTCATTAGATTTTCACGAAAACGACGCCAATCGATTCCTTGTGTATTTTCAGTGAAAATGACACCAAAAACAACACAATTCGGGTAATAATTAACGAAACTACATGAAGTATTGATTGGCATAATTTTAAGCTACAAACAGTTCGATTTATGTGATCTTTGGTATAATTTTAATCGGAAGATCACCAAGAAACCATTAGGTCTCACTTCCATATCGATATGGGGTCATTCTACTCGAAGTTGGATACTTTTTGGAATAACATTTCGGATTTTCTTCATATTTGGACATGTTGTACCTAATCTTTAATGATATATACACGGATCTAAAAGGTTTTTTAAAAACTTTCTAAATTGTTGATTTTGCAGTCATTTAAAATATAGTGTCAACATTTGTTCAATAAATCATAACTGTTGAACTAACAAAACTAATCAAAGTGAGTTTTGTGAAATTATTAATTTTGAAAAATTGTTTCAGGTGAAACAAATATTTTTTAACCATTATTTTACAATTATTGTAAAGAATGGATAAATTTAGAAAATCACGTTCACTTTCAAATAATCTTATGAAACGTAATTGACGTTAACACTACTTGTACCGCATGGCTAGGCCTGTCGAGCCAGTCTGCTTCCACGCAGCGTGAACTTAAAATTCTTTTTACATAGCCAAATTTGAAGTGTCCATATTTCTTAAAATTTGTCATAAAAAAGACCAATAGGACTATATCCCAATTTTGTAAAATTTTTCAATAGTGCGCCATTATTGTAAAATTGAACTTCTTTAAAGCAATTGAAAAATAAATGGTGAAAAAATTTTGTTTTCAAAATTAATAATTTCACAAAGCTCATTTTGATTAGTTTGTTAGTTCAACAATTATCGTTTATTGAAAAAAGGTTGACACTATATTTCAAACAACTGTAAAATCGACGATTTAAAAAATTTCGAAACCTTCTTTGAGATACGTTGAAACAGATATCATTAAAGACTGTAACACATCCAAATTTGAACAAAATTCGAAATGTTACTCAAAAAAGTGTCCGACTTCGTGTGGAATTATCCTCTGATGAAAAATAAACAGTTTAATTTTCTGATAAAAATGTATCGCCCTAGCGACCATTATGGCTTACCTAATTAATTATTAATATGTATAAAAAAATTAAAAAATTGATCTATAAGTATCACATTTTTATAACTTCTTTTCCTTATTAAAATATATAAATTCTACAATGCATTTTATATCCATGATAGATACTAATTACCAGTAATGTTAATAAACATTGATTATGGTCGAAAGAAACTAAAGCAAAATTCCTGTCATCGATACTTGTTACCGGTAATAAAAATAAAATTACAGTCATTAATGTTACGTTGTTACGTTATTCGTAAACAAGACACATTTCCGTCACCAATAGTGGTTATTCGTAACCAAAGACAATTTCCGTCATCGATACTAGTGACCAGACAAATTTTAATCATTTGTAATGAAATCAAAGCCATTATAATTATAATATTCGGAGCCATTATGTATTGGAGCTTGTACCACTATGTTTTCCATCTATTGCTCCAATGCATTTCGGAAAATTCCACTTATCATTAAAGTCGGCATCTATTTTTCACCAAGCTTCAGGAGTTCTTGGCACCCAACAGACAGTTGAAAGAAATTAGAAATGAAAGTAGATCAGGGAATACAATTCTATAAATAATAATCTTTCCACCTGTATATATTTCTGAACTTCTTTATTCAACGCTAACCACGTGTTAAGTACTATTCGAGATACTTTGCTTTCATACTTTAAAAAGGTGGATTGGCTAGTGAAAGAATCGCCTGTAGCTAAAAACCGCAAACTTATAGCCAGACGTTCATGTACTGAAATAGTAGATCTATAATTAGTGTCCCGCTTTGCTATTGTTGGTCCTATTAATGACAATATCATTTCAAATTCACCAGCTGACATTCGACAGATGTTTTTGAAGCTAGTTTGATCCTCCATTCTTAAATCAGCCAAGAATTCCGTAACACTATATTTTTGGCGGTTTTTAATCAATTTTCTCTGCCACTAACGTCGTTTATACTTTTTCTTTTGAGTTAGCAGATAGGTAACCATAAAACCAGCACAAACTAACACCTGATCTTGCGTACTCATCATTTGTTACAGAATTTAAATTAATCGTATCGACATTTTAAAAAAAATGTTGAGTTTAATAAATAGCAAGTGCACAATGAATACAGACAACGAAATAATTACTCCCAAGAAACTGACTGACTGGTGCAATAGAATATTTACAGGTGTTCGGCAACTGTTCGCAAACTGTGCGCAAACATGTTACAAGCAATGTTCACGAAAAAATCGAGTAGTGGTTACAAAATGTTCACGAATATTGTTTGCGAACAGTGTTTGTGAACTGTTCGCTGGTGAGTAGGTACGCACTTTTAGGAAGAGTTCGTGGTAATTTAGTACGAAGAATCCAGATACATATTAATGGGACGTTGTTGATGGATCTTTATGAACTGAATCCGAATTTGCAAACTGTTTTCTTTCCAGCACGTCCAGTTTTAGAAAAAATTAAGTTTGAAGAAATCACTTTTTAAAAAATTTCAAATCTTCAACTTTGTAGCTGTGCTGTGCTTTTACAATAATACTTATTTAATTTCTTTGGACAGGAAATAATTCTCTGGACACTTCCGAACAAAATGATATAAATTGTTATACTATTACACACATCTAAATATGTATAAATAATGTTCAAAGTAAACAGGACACTGAAAACGCACCAATTTTTGCTGATATTCTTCCATTTATTGCACAAACTAAAGGTCTAGGAGAAAATCTAACCACAGCACGTTACATAGCAGACTTTTTTCCTCCGGACGGTATCAAGGAAAGATATAGAATCTGTTTTGTTTTCAATATAAAACCGAAATAGTTCTGCAAACCACGCGGCCGCAACAGCGGCAATTCTTTCAAAAATTGAGTTTTTCAAAAACTGCTGGACGTGCTGCAAAGAAGCGGTTTGCAGATTCGCATTCAGCTCATACAGATCTATCAGAAACGCCTATTGAAAATTGCAACGTTTTCTACGTGTTAAACAGTGTTCCTATTTCTTAAATTTAAGACAGCCTATGATTTATTTCCAGCAATAAGTCTAAACTACAAATTTTTATCTCAATAACGAACTACATTCACTTTCCGTTAATTTTCTATTGCAGTACCTTTTCGTTTACATGTTATTTGAAAAAGGCATTTACGTGGTCCTTATCTTCTTGCTTCAAATAATTATCATTTTCGATTCTGTTTAAGAGAAAACTGTGTATTCGTCTTTTTACGTTACACGTGATTTTCTTTCATTTATGCTTCATTCATTATTCATTTTAATTGACTAGCAAAAGATGACAAAAAGTTTTATGTTATTTGTTGCCTTTTTCATTTGTCACTCTGCGCAGTTTCCTTCGATGCATGCCGACTTGCTTGTTTGTAATACAAGTACAACGCGTAGCCAACGCTATCGCGGTGGTTCGTCCGGCAGGCTCGCGCTCTGATTGGTCGCGGTTTTTCGTTAATATCTCCTTAACAAAGCGTCAGAGATTAATTTTCGTGTTCCAAATCGCCTCACAAGTCACCCCTTTCAAAGGCCCGCGATCATTTGGTTACACCTTATACAGGGTGTCTCAGCTAACTTAATCACCTCGAGTAAAGACTTAATGGTACACTTTATGAAAATATTGTGGCGTGAAACATAGATGGCATCAAGAGGAACATCTTATAAGGTACGTGCTTTTTTTGTGGGTATGGCCATTTCAGAGATTTCAAGTTCACCTTATGTTTTTTTAACGGAATGATTTTTTTTTACCACATCTCGATAGAGTATCAAATTCTGAGTAAAAATGTGTCGACCTTCATACGTCCTAAACATAATAGTTAACGAGATATTTACTAAATAATTTATAATACGTACTTACTATCTGAAAGTTATAGGTACTCAAACTGATGCCCCTCAACATCAATACACCGATTTCATTACAGTGATTATTTTGTAAATATCTCGTTAACTATTAGGTTCAGGATGTATGATGGTCGACACATTTTTAGTCAGAATTTCATACTCT